AAATCATAATTATCATCAGTCATCATTTGGGTATATGATTCATCTGATGGAAAATTAATCTGAACAAAACTTGCCTTATTCGATACAATCAGGAATTTGCACAAGATTGAAGTAAAATACATGAAATTATATTTAATAATACAATATTTTTTTTCTTTATTTCTGGTTCCACATTTGGTGTTGGCATACCTGTAAAGTTTAAACTTGTATTGACTGAATTCTGTATTATTGTGCAATTAGACGGTGGACCCTGATGTTTGAGATCTTTATATTTACTCTTGACCTGCTATAAATCATGCAGTTCAGGTTATTTTACATAGGAAATAACAGCAAGTGCATTTATTTCTAAGGTCATAATCTCCAGTTGTAAAAAAAAGCATTGGATATTTTGCAGAATTTAGCAGTAAAATTTGCAACATTTCTGTATTGGAAGTGCTCCATTTTTTTATAAGATTGTCATTTAACAATTACATGATATTTTCTCTTTTCATGCTTAGTTCTCTCTTTTGGCATCTTGTAGATCTCTTAGGATCCCATGCCCCAAGGAGGAAACCCTATCAAGACACTCAATCTTGGGTCCAAATGGTCTTCATGGACCATGGCAGCCACCCAGTGTTGATCAAGGGGTATAGTTCTTTTTCATTAGCTTGTTTCATACTTTTCTGATGATAAACACACTTCTTTTGTTGTTGTAGATACAATACCCAAGTAATTTGGACTTGACTCCAATTGAGATACCAAGGTTAAAGCTTTTAAATTCTTTGTTTGATGTAGTTCTTACAGTAGTCCTTATGGATGAATGCTAATGGAGCTTTAAAATAGACTTATCTTGTTATCAAGATTTTTATGCCTAGGCTCTTCAGTATGGTGATAGATGTTATGTTAGTTTAGTTAACTGACAGTATTTTAACTCTTGTCCTGCCTGATTTTACGTCAAATGTATCTTTTTATCTCGTTTTAAATTAATGTGACCTTTCTCACGATTTCTGATTCCTATTAAATAAAATCTAGCTGTAGACTGCACTCGCAAGTTGATTCTTCCTAATATTCAGATATCAGACAATTTCACGTGTTGAAACTGCAAACCATCAGTTTGTGCTGGTTTTTTTTTATAAGTCTAATTAACAGTTTGGAGTAGTGTAATGTGGAACAAATCGTAGGTCTTTGTTTTTAGTGTTAACATGAGGAAACTGAATGCAAAATCAAAGTTGCTTAGCAGTCAATTAGTTAGATGGATAAATTAACATCACTATATTGCCCTGAGTCTATGGAGCTTTGCTATATTCCAGTTGGACATAATTGGCTAGTTCGATTTCAGAACTTGTTATATTCTATATTTAGTTTTTGTTTTGAAATATGTTGTCTATGTTATCCTTTCTTTTTCCTTAATGCAACAGCCTGCTTCAACCAACAGAGAATAAACCTGTGGCTGTGAAGCAAAATGACACTTTAGAGAGTGAAAGAAGTATGCTTGAATTTCTTTCACTGCAAGAGAATGTAACTTGACAGCATGAAGAACAACGTCGAATGATCAACTTGGACGTGTCAGATGTGAATCCTAAGATGGACAATCATCAAAGGACTCTCTCCTCCGCCTACCTTTGCAGAAGTACAAGACGTCGTTGTAGCAGCACAAGTTTCTAAATCCTCAAATCCACAAACTGTTTCTTTGCAGAATGAGCTAATTCGTGCTGAATCTCCTCAAGAAGTTCACATAGTGGGTAGACCAAACTATTTTCCAGAGTTGCTGATGTTTCTTCATTTTTGAAGTATATTTTCCATTGGTGGAGGCATCAGAATCATTTGCATATAGTTAATCTTCTTTTGTTTACTATATCTTTTATGGCAATTATTCTCTCACTGGTGCTTGCAGTCAACAGTTCTGTTGGAAAGCTTTATGAGACTTGCAAAATCAAATACTGTCAGAAATTTAGTAACTTGTGGTGTTCTTGCAGGTTCCCTTGTAAGAGAGAATAGTTTTTGTATCTGTATACAATATAAAATATCCAAGAAACTTTGGTGATTAATTCATGAAGATAATGTTTTGCTTTTGCAGAAAAACAGGAAGTTCTATGTGACAGCTCTTATCATCCCCAAGCAAGTGGCGACATCTAATTCAGTAAGACAGTCGTAGCTGTTTGCATTTTTTGCATGATATGACATAATGGTCTATTCTGATTAATTTTTGTATAATTCAGTGTCAGACAACAAATGAAGAAGAAATCTTCGACTATCAGGACAAGCAGTCACTATTTCCCCTTGGATGGATTCATGTACGTATCTATTAGCAATGACATTCAACTTCCTTTGCTAGCTTTTGAGAGCATTCTGAAAAAAATTAAGTTGCCTACTAAAATTTCCTTCACTATAATATTTTCCCTGCTACTTATTCTTGCATTCTCTTCAGAAAAATTTCTTTGACTATCAACTAGTCTTAACTAATTTGTTTGGTAAATTAAATATTCACAAGAAAATTGATTTTCTTCTCTTAATGGAGGGAAAATTCTTCAAGAAAGGGTGAACATGTTTAAAGGAAACATATGGATGTTGTAGTTAAACAAGGTGATCCGATTAGTATTAGTGATGCAAGGAGAGGTAGAAGAAGATATGAGAAGATTGTATGAAGAATAGTAAATAGAGATTTGAATAATCTTTGATTTAACTGAAAATATTGTCTTGTACAACAAGCACAATCATAGAAATAATATCGATGTAGTCAACCCCAAATGTTTGGGACATCACAACTTGGTTTTGCCGCAATATACCTGTTAATTATTTATTTTCAACATTTTGAATTAATTACTTGGCTAGCTGAATTAATTTCTCAAGATTGGAGATAAGTTTATCATCCTCAATACATTCAAAAATTTGTATGAGACTAAACATGCTATTATATCACAATTAGGTTTAGCATGTAGACCTAGATGGATGTATATAGGATGCAAGGTCAATCTAAAAGGAAAGTGAAAGTTAGATCCATTAGCATCCAGATGTAAAGAAAATAAGATTATCTGATCATAGGAAATGATTGTTAAAAGTTAAAACTATCGTTTTGTCTGAGGTCTCTCTAACCAGGGATGTGGATGGTTTTCAATCCATTAAATAAAATATGTAATTCATCTCCAATCTTTAAATAGTTAGAATTATGGAAAGCTTCGATCGCTTTGGCTTGTCCAGTTCAAAGAAGCGGACTTGCCTGTTCCTAGTTTCTCATATATATTCGTGTTTGTAACTTGGTCCCCTATAGACTCGACATGCATGCAAGGTGTACTGAGATCATTGTCCCTTCTTAGCCACTGAAGTGTTTCCCAAATCCATATGAGTTTCTCATGAAGATCAATGAGGAGACTTGTTATATTTGGTTTTCCAGACTAAAATATGCCGTAACAGTTCTAGTCATGGTGCACAGGTTATGTACAAGTGTATTTAAAATTTGGTTCTTCAGATGAAAACATGTCACAGTGCTTGTAATTACTATGCACACATTTTAGACAAGTGACTTGATGATATTTTGCCAGTTAGTTGCAGGGGCGTGATCACTTTTTACATTGCATTGTTTAATCAGCACACCAGCACTCTAAGAGTGACATCATGATGTTGTGTTGTTTGAAGACTAACAAGGCAATTGTGTCAAAGATACGGAAAAGTACTTGGGTGTACTAACCACAAACATAAAAGGATGATCAATGAACTCTTTTCTTTACTTTGTTTCGATTTTCAAGAACTCTGTATTTTACCTTTATGATACCCTTTTCTCCTAAAGAGAAACAAAGGGGAAACTGTTTGTTTTTCGTATCTGAATCCATGACAAATCAGTTTTTTCTTGTAAAATTCTTGCTGTCATGAATGAGGAACCAGTGATTTTACCTTGTTCACTGATAGACAAACTAACTGCTTTAGACCTCGAGAATGTTTAAGATCTTTAAAGACCGAAAATAACTCAGATCTATTTACAAAAATCCGTCGATGGGGGTTCTGAGCAAGACATGAACCCGTCGATGGGGGTTCAATGCTACTGTTTTCGGTAACAACTGTGAGATAAAGAGCCCTTAACTAGTTTTCTTGTGCATAAAACCCGTCGATGGGGGTTCTGAGCAAGACATGAACCAAAACACCTGTTCATCAACCTTGTGTTGAGGTAATTGTTCATGGTTGGTTATGCTATGTGCTAAGATCAGATCAGCACTATAACCAGTACACTGCGAGTTCAAAGCAAACCGCTATCTATAGAGCCACAGAACCGCATGTGCATGGCATGAATAAATAATCGGCGTGTCAAAGGAGAACACCGTCTTCAGTCATGAATAAATAATTTGATGCAAATAACCTTATGGAATGCGCAAGTCACCGGATCAATTAAATCCATCAATATATATCTTTCCCTCGTTGTCCGAATCAATATCAAGACTGGCGTGACAGAAAGAAAAGCTCGATAGTCAAATATCAAAACTGGACGCCGAAATGATTTGGAAGTGGTCATAAACTGGCCAAATAGCAGTGACAGCAACAGATGCTGCAAATACTATTTTGGATTCAGGAACTGCACACTACTTAAAGCCACATAAAGCGTGAATGAATTCGTCAATCCTACACTAAAATAATACCAAGGCTCAACTCATATCACTCCCACTTCTATACTAAGAAAATTGAGGCAACATAAATAAAAAATAAGAATATTTAAAACGGTTTAATCCAACAATTTCTTATAGATCCTCCTAACTTTTCATGTTAGATTGACAAAACTGTTTATCCATTACGGATCTTTATCTCAAATGAAAGTTATAATCAAAATCAAACAGTTCAAATCTGAACCGAGAGTAAAATTGAAGTACAAGTAGAGATTTTCATATTGTTTATATCTTTATGTTATAGAATAATCAAGCTCTAATCTTTAAAATTGCTATTCTTCACCAAAAAGTCTTTCCATATTAGTAGTATTTCCTGAACCCTAAGACACATGTTGTAAGAATCCAAAAATACTTGTCTCTAACTCCAGCAAATCTAACAGTCAATAGCATTCAACTACGAGATTAAACAAAAAAATGTTGTTGCTTATATTTAAACTTGGATTTACAGACAAAAAAAAATAGGGGGAATTCTAAGCAACCAAACTAACCATGAGAAGTAATTGACCTCTGACTGTCGTAATCGCTTCTCCAAGAAAGAGAACCATTGACCATAAAACTCTCTAAAATCTACAACAATAACGCCAACAAGAAAAGGAATTCATTATGCTAAAATTTCAACAAATAATTCAGTAAATTAGGTAAAATAAAGCATTTTTGGTACAAATAGTACTTACTACCTTAATCATCGACCTTGTATGTTACACTAGTTACTTCCGATAACCGTGAACCAGGAAAAAGCGACTGCAGAAAGAATTAATCGAAGAAGAAAGGATGCCAAAAACACAAATTTATCACAGATATCAGAAATGAAATCAAATCAAAATTACTAAAAAAGATTCTTTTTTGTAGACAAATTTATCTTACATTGAGCAGTCGCTGCACGATTCTGGCCCTCTTCTTCGGCCTCCGAGGGGGCTTCGTCCCCTTCATCCTCCAAAAGTCTTCTTCGATCTCCTTGCGGGATAGCGAGACGAAGAATTTTCGACGCTCCCCCTTCTCCGATCCATATGATCTCCCCTTCCTCATGTCCGTCGCCGGATAGCTCTTCTCAGCCGCCAAAGGCGAAGGAGACCATGAGACCGAATTAGAGTACCGATACAGAGGCGGAGATTTGCACGCCGCACTGCGGGTCCTCAGACTCCATGGCATGGAGGTCCCCGCAACCTCCGCCGCAGCCGTCGCGGAGGAAAGGGACCTCTCGGCCTCCGCTTCCTTCGAGTTTCTGGACCCAGACGACCGCTTCTGCTTGACCGAGGATTTCTCCGGCGGCGATGGCGGCCGCTTCCTGTCAGCCCGGACGTTCCGATCGGCCGCGTCGGGCACCCGTCCGATGACATCGACAGTGCGGTCGGAGGAAAGATTACAGCAGCGCAGGATGCGGTGGGTGCCCCAGCTGCCAGTGGGGAAGGTGAAATTGTGCAGTTTAAACCGGTGGAAGCCCGACGGCTGCGGCTCCGGAGTGGGTGATGCGGCGCGATGCCCCGCCGCCGGAAGATCTAGCTCTCCCGGGATGCCATCGGCCTCTTCGTTGCCGAAGATCACCATCGAATCGACGCTGCAAAGAGGCGGTTTTGTGGAAAGGAAACGCGAAGAGAGAGAGAGACAGATTTCTAACGTTCGTATAGGCATCCTCTGTTCTTCTCGGCGGGGTTTATTTATATGGGTGAGAGAAGACGAAGCAAAACTATTGGTCGAGGGGCGCTGATAACGAATTGATCTGATTCAATCGCGGCCATAAGATTCGTGTTTCCATTCTTGCGGCGTATCCGACGGTGCACGCGTAATGTTATAATGTACCGCGTGGTTACACGGCTTCGATGTACTTGATCGAAATTACCAACGGGTCCTTCTTCTATTCAATGTAACAAAGCGATGCTTCTACTGTATTGGAGATACGTATACGTACGGTACTTACCCGGACCAGTACCGGACGACCTACGTGACTTTTTGATTGGGTAGAAGCGACCTCGGATGTGATGGCTGCCGTTGTGGGGTAGAAGAGGGCATTGTTGTCGGGGTAATCCTACTAGAAGATGGACCCCACAACCTTCATTTGCCTCGCGACAAAACACACCAAAACGCTTACGAGTTGTGGCATCACTCGCTCTCCTCTCCGAGACGCGAATAATCAATAAACTAATATAAAGAATTTTTAGGCGATTTTTCTGAAACAATCCAACTTTTTTTTTTCCCGTATCATTCCGCATTTCCAAAATACCTAAAGAGAGTCCACGCTTTTTAAAATAATAAAAATAACCTCATTGACAACTTTAAATTTTTTGTTTTTGATGGAAACTCAATTATACCAAACAAGTCAAGTGTTGATTCAGTGATAAATGGAACTGATTGTAGTAATTTTGAATTGGATTATAATATTTTATTATTATTATTTTTATCGATTACAACATATTTAAATAAGTAAAATCGAACTAATTATAGTGTTTTATATTATTTTTAAATTGAATTACAGTAATATTTTATTACTAAACTAAAAATACTATAACCACCGTTAGTACCTCAGTAGGATTTTAGATAGATATTTTTATTAGTTAAAAAACAAAAATTAAAATTAAAATTAAAATTTAGGATAATTATAATATTTTTAAATAAAATTATAATATTTTAAAATAAATTTATAATATTTTAGGCATACTATATTTATATATACAGCCAGTTCACCTTATGGATTAATCAAGGGAGAGGATAGGAGAACGGATGTTCTAACAAAAAAAAAAAAATTATCTGAAAAAAACAAAATGAGGAAAATCTTTCGAGAAAATTCAAAATGAGATTTTCTTTTTTTGGAGGGGATTCAGTCATCTAAATAATAGAAATTTCTTTTTATTAATTTTCTTAATTAATTTTAAAATAAATTTGTTAATTATTTTTATTATATACAATTTATTTATTATTCTCTATATAACGAACACCATCCCTCGCCTCGAGAACAACTCTCTCCGCCGTCCTCTTCTCTCTTCTCGCCCTCCGCCGACCCAATCCAACGACGTCAGAATACCCTTACCCGCTCCTTTTGGTGCCGATCGCCACCTGGGTCGGATCGCGTCACCGACCGAGGAGTTTACATGGTCATCTCAGCGGAGACGCCGGCCACGCCGCCAGATCCTGCCGTCGCTATGGCGACCAAGGAGGCTTCGGTCCCTCGCGGAGGGACGCGGGGGAGTCTCCTCCATAACTTCTCCTTCCCGATCTTGGAGACGTTGGGGGGCCACGAGGCGCTACGCTGCATGAGCGGGAACGGCGAAGGGGAGGCCGTCGCCGACGGCGGCCGGAGATCGACGGGCTCATCCGAGGTAGGCGAGCTGCGGATCCGTGTCCCGAGTAGTGGGGACGAAGACGACCCGGGGATCGAGGAGGTCAGGGAGAAGCTGCTGGTTCACCTGCGGGAGGCGGCGGACCGGATGAAGCGGGTGGTCCAGCATCTGGCCAGGAGGGGCGGAGTGCCCGAGCCGGCGAGGGCGGCGGAGGCGAGGCCGAGTCCTGAGGCGGACACGTCTGCCGCTCTGCCGTGGAACCTGAGGACGAGGCGCGGGGCGGCAAGGTCTCCGGCGGGGACCGAGCGGCACTTGAGCCGGTCGCCGACGGTCGCGGCTGAGAAGAGAACTGTGCGCCTTAGGTTGGAGGCTCCCGAGCGGAGGGAGCGGCCCAAGTTCTCGATCTCGCTTACAAGGGAGGAGATCGAGGAGGACATCTACGCCTTGACGGCGCGCAGGGCTCGCAGGCGGCCAAGACGGCGGCCAAGGGCCGTTCAAAAGCAGCTCGAGGTGTGCTTCTTCTCCCCAACACGATCCAAACAAACCCAATTTTGTATTGTTTTCCATCGTTCCTTGCATTCAAAGAGCAAATTTTCTGATTCTTATGTTGGCGTTCTTCTTCTTCCAGTCGCTATTCCCTGGCTCGTCCCTGTCGGAGATCAACGCCGCCACGTACAGGGTTCCGAGCTAGAGATATAACCTTACGTGCGGTGACGCGACACCTTCTTCTCCGTCAAGGTCCCGAGTTGCTCGCGCCGATTTCTCAGGGCTTCTTAGAGGCATACTAGGAAAAATTTAGTCATTCCTCATTCTCTTAGATACGTCGATGTGTAATTGGTCTATTTAGATCAAAGGAGTTCATGTGGATGTTGCTGTGTTTGCAATGGATTGTAATGACATCTTCTTCAGAACGCTGGTGGTTCGATGGGCTCAAAGATGAAAGCTTTGGTTACTTGCGAACGAGAAGAAACAAGAGGAAGCATTTTCTTCGCTGGATCGACAATGGTCGTCGGATTAGGGGCAGCGGTGGCGCTGACACGGATGTGGTAGGTCAACCCTGTGATCGGAAGCCGTCATGGTCGTCCCCGTGACCGCACCTCGACCTCCAACGCGGTGTCTTTTGTTTTGTTTTTTGTTGAAGGAAAGAAACACCGTATTGAAAACCAAGTGGTAAGTCATCACTCCAAAAAGAGATACCTGTCTAAACCTTCGTTTCCAACAACAACAACAACAACAACAACAACAACAACAACAGCACTATTACATCTTCTATAAAAAAACACTTGAATAAGGACACCTTATAAAAAACTAAGAAATACTCAATCCACATGTTTCTTGAAAACCAAAGTATTTTCATAAAACTATTCAATGGGTTTATAATTTATAGCGAGTCAGATCGAATCCAAATGTTGTTGAATCCTCCGGCAGCCGCAAACCTCAATGCTTCCGCATTCAGCTTGCAGGACTAAGCTAGCTTTTTATGTTCTGCACCGGCCTGCCTTTCTGATCCTTTATAATGAAACCCAACCCTGCAGTGAGTGTCATTTGCACTAAAAAAGAAAAAGGAAGGATCAATTTTAATGGAAAAGTTAATGATACTAACTGGACAGCTCATAGGTTCTTGTTGGATCCAATCCAGTGTCCCTCCACGCCCTTTGGCTGGTGCAAGGTATTCAGATCCTTATGGATAAGAGCAAGCAGCTCGCATCATAGAGAGACTTGAGCTTACGAATTGTTGGCTATGATAGCTCTAAGATGATCCCTCTCATTTTTGTTCAGATCTCTTCCCGCAGTTCCACTCAGAGAATAATTGAAAACTGAACTGGATTTTTTTTCTTGGACAAGTTTCCAATAATCCAAAGCAAAGAAACATCGAAAGAGAGAAGAGTGTTCAGCATAATCCAAGAACTCTGAACAAACTAGCTAAGCTAGGGGATCAATGGTGCACTGGAAAACCTACAGTTCCAAGTCAATATAGGGAGTCTACCTCAGTCAACTTCTAAAGGAACATGTTGACCTTAGGAATCACACCGATACGTCAAATCATCTACTAGCCCGTCCTAACGTTGTCCCGTGAAAGCTGCTCTTCTTAAGGAATCGATATGAACCATCATTTCTCCCCTAGGATAAGGAGACCAATACCAACAATCATCATTGAGGAACAAGGGACATGTGAATCACAGCTACCTTATCGATCAAGCTTTTATGAAATAAAAGCATCAAGTAAGAGCTATTTCATTAGGTTTAAGAAATCAGATCCAAGATAGTGTTAAAGTTGCATAATTTATCAACATTCACATAGATTGGCCAAAGGACAAACAAATGGGATATCACTGAACCAAGATTATGATTATGCCAAAGGTCTATACCTTTGCCGTTCCCCACTACTATTCGAAAGCCGTTCTCCACAACTATTCGAAAACTGCTCGAAGCACCTTAAAAGATTTTAAAATATTCTTCCAATACCAAAAGGAAGAGTTATAGTTTTTTGAAGATCAAAAAGATACAAGTTCATATTTAGTTATGAGAAGATTCACAATACTTTCCTCAAAAGTATTAGGATCAAGAGTGGTACTAAGAGGGGGGGATGAATTAGTGCAGCGAAAAAAAATATTGATTTCGAAAAATATTCGTTTCGATTCAATCCGTTTCCAAAAAAATTCATCAATTGATTTCATTATCAAAATATGATATTCAACAAAAAAAACTTCTTAAAATTAATATTAATATTATAAATAATTTTGTCAGATATTTTTGTAGTCATCAAACAATAGAGAGAGATGAAATTAATAACAACATTAATCAAGACAAAATTTCCTACCTGATTTATAAATTTTTTCTACCATCCTTCAATTTTATAGAGGACTTTGGAATTTTTTGAGAAGAGTGTGAAATGAAGGTGCCTAGATACTTCATGGCCGGTTTCCTCTTTTCATATTGAGAATATTACATATAATGTATTTAGTTAAAGGATCATAATTTTTAAAAATAAATGACAGATGTAGATCTATTAATATTTAAATTAGTGAAGTTAGAATGCTGGTCAATGGCCTTAAGAAGATTCCTACATGATTTGTCACTCCTCTTAATAATAATAATCACATTGTAAGTAAATATTAAATGAGAAATTTTAACACATTTATAATTAAATGACATAATCTTTTGTAGTCATATCATCAGGAATAGATGATAATATCTACGAACTGAGAGGGTGAGATCAGGTCCCCTTGATGAATTCTTTTAGAAGCCTCAAAGAATTAAAAGGGGCAACCAGATCAAACATGAGAAAAGAGGAGAAAATAAATTGGCATGAATCCCCCAATGAATATTTCGGCGATGTTTTCATAAGCCTCATGACTTTGATGATCAGCTTCTTCATATATTTTTTCAATATCAATTTTAATAAAGATTAAAAGATCAGATTCTTCATATATTTTTTCAATATCAATTTTAATAAAGATTAAAAGAATTTTAGGATGAGACTTGTATATGGTATGCACACGATCATATATAATAATATTATTAGGAAAAATGACAGACATATGGAATTCACTAAAAGCAACAAAAATTTTAGATTTTGATGATGAAATTAATTGATGAAGTTATGATCTAACGAGCGTTTAAGTAATACAGAGTTAACTTCAATCATAGAAAGATAAATCGATTGAAGCAAGAGAATTAAACGTTGGGCCAGAGTGGAACATGTCAGAAATTGGACGTCGGGCCGAAGGATTAGTCGACGTACCGAAAGATAGATTTCGTATCGTAAGTTCGGGCATCGGGCCAAAAGGATTGAACATTGCGCTAAGAAGATCAGATGTTGTGGGAGGTCAACATACTGATGGATCGGGGCAATATGCCGAAAAAGAGGATGATGCGCCGAAGGTTCGGATGAAGCGTTGGATGAACCAATGATATGTTGGACAACATAGGATTCATGTTTGTAATCGTTTATCTTGAATGAGGCAGTTTAGGTCTTAATTGAGTTAGTTTTGGGTGTAACTATACCAACTTGATTAGGAGCCTATTAGGCCTGAATCAAGACTAAATTAGGCCTATTGGAAGGCCAATTCAGTTATGTGAAGTTGGGCCAAGCAATAGCGTCGCTAGGCCAGGTGGTGGAATCACTTGTGAGCTGGAAAGCATGAAATGTACTTTTCTAGAAATCCCAACAGAGGTACCGCTAGGGTCAGGCGGTGGTATCGCTAGGGTCAGCCGGTGGTATCGCTAGGGTCAGGCGATGGTACCACCGAGATTAGGTAAGTGGTACTGCCAGTGCACAGGGTGGTAGGTGATGGTACTGGCAATACCCCGAAAACCTAAGGATTTAAATTTTTGGCTCCATTTTTTAAGTCATTTGGAGCCTATAAATACCCAACTCATTCTTACTTGGGATAGTAAGGAAAAGAGTAGAAAGAGAAAAGAATTCTTAAGGAAAAAAATGTTGAAAAATCTTCGAGGAGACATCATATGTGCAGCGGAAGAACAAAAAATAAAATCCCCAATTCCCAAATATATGTTCGTCGTAATGCAAAGATTGGTGCGCCAAAATCCACGAAATAGAAAATCACATATGAGATAGACTGTGTTACCTAGGGAGATCCTATATCCCTAAATCCCTGTAGATCTCTAGGAGAGGGTGAAGGAGGTCGAGTGCCTTCCTCTCTAGCGGTGATCCACACAACATAGCTGCAATGACGCTCCTCAAAACTCCAGACATGCTTTGAGGTGGAGAGGTGGAGGAGAATAGGAGAAGACAACTAAAAAGGCTCTTGTTTATGAACCACAAGTTCATTTCTATTTATAGAGGTCTCCTGTCAACTTAACCCTAATGGATCCTGCCCTATTGAGTATTGGATCTCAATCCAACTACCCAAGCCTCTTAGATTAGTGTATCTCTATCTAATAATCTCTTATAGACTCTTATTTGATCTCATTCATAAGATCCAATAATTCAGGGGCTTATTGGATATCTAATAAGATAGGGGCTCCGACGGATATCTCTGAACCTCTACTCATCGCAATGCCTACCATATGTGTGTGACCCTCTAGGCCCAATATTGAGCTAACCGTACGTCATACTTGTCAGAACTTGTCACATCTCGAATTTATAAAAAGAATAATACATCAATATTTTATTATCCATAATTTATATAATAAACTCCCTCATTTTCTTTTTATTCATCTTTGAATTCAAATCCTCATCTTTATAGTAGTAAATATTCTATTAATCATAAAAAAATGACAACATCTTCTTGATAGGGTCACAAGTCTCTTCCACCCAAGCTTCAGATCTATTACATAGTAGTAAATTACTTTGAAAAAAAATATAAAATAAAAACATATCAGCAACCACAGTAGGAACCTCGGAAAAATCATAAAGTTAATCTTCAATATTCATGAAATATAAACAAGTATCAATAATTCAATAAGAAAATATATCTATTCATCATAAAACTTATGCATAAAAAAAATGATGATAATTTCTTACATAATAAACAAAATCATGCATCAGCCACATGCAACACATACATAATAACAAAGGCGTATATCACCTGATGGTGCACTCTCCCAATAGCGGATGGAGAGGCATATTCTATGGGATGGATTCCTCCCAACAGTGGATGGAGATAATCCATATCGCACTCCCAACAACGGATGGAGGAACCGTATAACCATCATGTTTGACGGTGTTAATCCCCGAAGGGAATCACCATACATACCCTCGGTAGTGATACATAAACATCAATGATTATTCATTTTCACTCATTCATACATCAAGAAATCAATATGATTAAATATTATAAGAGACCATACTTGATATAAATCTGCTAGACTATGTTCATTCGTGGCTCCGCGTTGTGA